ACGTGAGGTCCGATGACACCATTCGCTCAATGTCGGCACCCCAAGAACGTGATGGAGTGGAACCACTGACTGAGCTGCAGCAATCGTCAACTCTGAAGGGCTCGACATGGTCATCTTGGAGAGCAGTAATTTTGGCCAGGGAGATACCCTGTGGCAGAACTTGGGTGGTGACTGAAAAGTTGACCAGTGGAAGGAAGGTGCGGTTTCTCTTAATCGTCAGAATCATATGCGGCACAGCAACCCCATGCGTAAGCATCACTGCAGGAATCGGGGCCACCATGTAATCACCATCAGGTACTGGCGGCGTGGAGGATAAGTCGACATGTGTGACGGAGTTAGGAGGGAGACGCGTGAAATCAATGCAACAGAGGCTGGTTTGCGGTGGGCTAGGCGGGTCGGAAAAGAGGGGTAAATCGAGATGGAGAGAGCCAGCTGAACAGTCTATGAGGGCAGAGTGCGTGGCTAGAAAATCCATACCGAGAATGAGTTCATGAGGGCAATGTTTGATAACGGCGAAAAGAACGACAGTGCTTCTCTCCCCAATAGACACTCGCGCAGAGCACATGCCAAGAATTGCGGCAGTTCCTCCATCGGCGACTCGTACAGCTCGGTTGAGGGCGGGCGTGACAACTTTTCTAAGTCGGCGGCGAAGGTTAGCACTCATAATGGACACATGCGCGCCAGTATCTATCAACGCACTGACCCGAACATTGTCGACAGTAACGTCCAAAAGGTTCCGGTTCGTTGTTAACGTTAATCGAGGATTTCTTACGAAGGTCGTCAACGCAGCTCCACCTCCAGAAGCTGCACGGCCTAGTTTTCCGGTCGGAGATGCTGCGAATAGGTCGGGGAGGCAGCACGGCGTTGTGGGGGCGACCGGGACTGACGTCGAGCAGGGGACGGTGACCGGTCGTAGCGAGGTCTGCTGAGAGGTGCTGTAGGAGCGGAAAATGTGGTCGGCGTTGATGAAGAAAGTGATGGGGATGATTGGCGAGCAGAAGTGGTGGGATACTGAAGTGCATAATGGGACGGTGGAGCCCAGCGGCTGCGGCAGTGACGTGCGATATGACCAACGCGTCGACAGTTGAAACATATGGGCCTATCATCAAGGGTACGCCATTGGGACGGATTGCGTTGTATGCGAGGAGCAGAAGGGGGACGAAAAGAAGGTGCAGCAGAGTATACGGCAGGTACAGGATGTAGGCGGACATTCGATAGCTCTTGACGAACGACGGCTTGTATCAAAGAAATCGTGGTCGGGGAAGGCGTAGGCGTCGGTAGTGGCGTGGCTACCGGTTGTGCTGCCTCGACCTCTCGACGAATGATGCGTGTGAGGTTGTCACATGGAGGGGCCTGGTGGAAGACGTCGTCACACGAAGAGGTGGCCGCTGTGTTCGGAAGGCGCACGATGTTTTGGGTTACACGGCGGGCTTTAGCTTGTTCGAGACGTCGGCATTCTTTAAGGATGTTGTCGATGCTCGAGATGTTGTTAAAAACCAGCAGGTTGAAAGCATCATCGGCTATGCCTTTCAAGACGTGGTTAACCTTTTCGTCTTCGGACATGGACTGGTCGGCCTTGGAACAAAAGGCCAAAACGTCAAGAATGTAGGAGACGTACGATTCGGTAGAAGACTGGGCCCGTGTGGCAAGAGTCTTCTTCGCAGCGAGCTGACGACCAGATGAATCGCCAAACAGGTCACGTATCTTTTCTTTGAAGAGATCCCAGCTCGTTATGTCGGCTTCGTGGCTTTCAAACCATGTTCGGGGAGTGCCGTCCAGGTAGAAAAACACGTTGGCGAGCATGAGCGTGGGATCCCAGCGGTGAGTTGCACTGACGCGCTCGTACCGCTTCAGCCAAGTGTCGAGGTCGATCGTACCATCACCGGAGAAAGTGCCGGGATCCCGGAGGTGCGGGAGTGTGACGTAGGTGGTGGCTTGGACTGACGAGGGCGGCGTAGAGGAAGTACCAGCAGTCGAAGCAGTCGAAAGCTCACCGATGGCGCGACCGCTGCGCGTCTCCATCGAGGTACAGGGGTCGTCCACCTCCACCAATAATGTTACGAGTAACTTCTTTAATAATCTATTTACAGCGCACAGAGCTCGACGAGTAAGATGGCGCCAGACCAGCATCCAACGGAAAAAACCCACTTCGTCCTCCTCTTTCTTGCAGCCGTGTTTAGCCGCATTTTCGTATCAATATATATATATATATATATATATATATATATATATATATATATATATTTATATATATATATATACATATATATACATATATATATATATATATGTGTGTGTGTGTGTGTAACTTATCAGCAATATACATTTCAAATGACGACAAAAGCCCAAGCGTGGAGCCCTGGAACACTCCTGTTGTAACTGGTACAATACTTCATGCGACATTTCGAATATAGAAAACTTGGACTAAATCAATAGGAAGCCGAGCAGCTGAGCATTATTTATTCCTCTTTGATAACGTACTTTATTTCACTTTCTACCTCGCTTCGAGGCACACCAAGCTGATAATAAGCGATTAAACGTGCATTTGCATGCGTGCGTGTACAAGTACACCTGTAAAATTGAAAATTTTCAGTAGGACTCTAAACCCCATTCCTCCCCTGAATACACCAATGCTCTAATGTATAATCCTAGTAAATACTCGCTAGCAAATTATGGCCCCAATAAGCGTTAACTATGGAATGTGTTCTGCTTATTCTAATAGTGCATGTACAACGATGGAACAAATTTACATTTTTTGTGTATGGCAGCACTTCCCACTTGCATAATACCTGTAGTAAGTTGACGTTGCTAGTGTGACGTTGTCGGCACGTGCTGTTGACGACGCACGTGCTGACAACGAGGTCTGTTAGCATAGTATGAAGTATGCGACCTTGAAGCTTTGTGCGCATGTGTGAACTTTTTTCCTCCTGCCAATGGCGTAAGTCGCTGAGGCGCAGCGTTTGAGTGAGGTAGTGTGCAGTGCTCTGGTCGGCTTTACATTGCAAGGAAAATGATGGAGCGACTAGAGCAGCGCATCTGCATAAAATTTGCCAGAACAGTGACGATGCTATGAGCCGCACACAGATTAAGGAGTGGCAAAGCTAGTTTAAAGACGATGGTGAGCGAGCTACACTTCTGTCGGCCATCAACATGCCGAAATGACCACGTCATTGCCGGAATGAACGCGGTGGTCATAGGGACCATCATGTGACTATCCGGGAAATCGCGGAAGAGCTGGGCACGAGCACTTTCTCTGCACATTTTATCATAACTGAAGGTTCGGTCATAAGAGAGTTGCGACGAAATTTGTGCCGCAACTGCTCACCGTGGAGCAAAAGCGAATTCGTGTTGAAGTCTCAGAGGATATGCTGGATTTCACAAGCAGTGACTCTAGCATCATGAACACCATTATCACTGGTGGGAAGTCTTATGCGTACGGGTACAACTCGGAAAGCAAATTGCAGTCGTCACTGTGGAAGCGTTCCACGTCACCAAGACCGAAGAAGGTCCGCCAAGTGCACAGTAATGTCAAAGCAATGCTGAGTGCTTTCTTTGACTTTCGCGATGTGGCACACCAAAAGTACGCACTACAGGATCGAGCAATCTCAAAAAAGTGCTACAGGGGTGTCCTCTCTTATCAACGTGATGCTGTGCGGCGCAAGACACCTGAGTTGTGGACGACACGAAGCAGGAGTCCCCATAACTACAATGTTCCTGCACAGTCCTCACACTTTGTTCATACTTTCTTGGTGAAACGTGAAACTGCTGTAGTTCAACAGGCTCCTTACTCACCTGATATGGGCCCCTGCGACTTCTGAATGTTTCTCAAAATCAAGAGAACATTAAAAGAAAAGTGATTTCAGACAATGGAGGGCATTACGGCTGCAATGACAGCTGAGCTAAACTCCATTCCGAGAGAGGCCTTCGCAGAATGCTTCTAACAATAGCAGCACCACTGGGAGAATAGTGTGAAGTTCTAAGGGCACTGTTTTTCGGGGTGGGGAGGGATTGGTTTTCTAACGCTCTAATTATGCCAGCTGGTTTCTTCCAGCATAGGCCGGATACTTTTCTAACAGACCTTATACTAGACTATGTACCAACCAGCCCAAGGAAGCGTTTTAGTGGTCGATTAAGACCTGCTCAACCACGTTTGTCGCATTTTTCATATTATAAGGTGAACAAACTACAACAAAAGTAAGCTAAAACAGTAACAAAGGTCTGTTAAAAGATTTGAATGTCCCTTTACCCAGAGCCAATTATGACTTACGAATATTTATATTTACTTTTATAGAATAAAATTATTCAATTTCTTTCTAATGAGGTGCATCTTTTTTTCAACAAATGGTAGTTTTGTAAATAACTGGATTGTTTCAGCAGCTACTCACGGGCGAGAGTGTACGCTTTCTCGTTGGAAGCAGGGCTACCACATATAGAGCTCTGGTGGTCTCTGGCACCCACGCTACACACACTGCTCTAAGTAGCACCGACAGTTGAGCAAGTTGGTGTAGGTTCTGAGTTATTAACTGCTCAAAAAAACAGTTTTCTTCATTTTGTGTCTCGTTTGTTTTTTGCGTCGTTCATAACCATGAACACACTGCCCTGCGGCTGCAATTGTGTCAGCCCTAATATTCCACGGAAGGCCAATTGAGCTGTCGATTCGGGGTCAGTGTAAAAGGTAATACAGTGATACAGTGATGCACGTCAAAGCTTTCCGTTGTCGCGTTGAAAGCTTTGTTATTTTGTCTGAGCCTACATTCCTTTGTTCCGTATATTTGAGGATAAATTGCGCTTTGTTGAAGGCCTTATGGCTTGTTGGTCGTCTAGTAGCGCAAAAAAAAAATCAATAATGAGTCTCCATTTCACTATACAGCGGCACTGTGCAATATAATGTAGGATTGGATTTTTATGCGAAGATACGGACTTGAAGCTCAGAGAGCAATGTTATGGCGTTAAGTGCGCTTCAAAAAGCCCAAAATGTTCAGAAACTCAAGTGTACGCACGTGTAGCCGAAGCTGTCGAGAACAGATACTTTATCGATGAACCAGGAGTCCTTGCCTCCGTAAATCCATCCGCGATATTTGGTGTACTTGATGACTACTCTCGTGATGTTGACGACAGCCGGGTGGGCAGCGACGAGCACTTTCTCAGCCTGGCCACCTTTCAGCTCCTGTGAATCACTGTAGCGGTGAAGTATAAACCACCATACTTACTATGATATTTCGAACAATGCGATGGTGCTGAAATTACTGATCAACAAGGAACACCGATTAGGAAAAGGTACAAACAAGCCGGGTGTTTCACGCGAAAATTGTAAAGAATAACATCAGAACTGAACGTGGGAAGTTCCAAGTTCTTCAAGCAGTTCCATACGAAGTCGTCTTAATCCTAACGTGGTTTTGTGAAAAAGAAAACACCTAAAAAGGTTATTCCTATTAACCAATGAAAGCATGGAACGCACGAACATTCAAGCGGTACGCATTTCGTTCGCAAACGACGTCGATGTTTTGTAATTGCTGTGAAAAATAAAGAATAAACTATGATGAACTTTAATGACAGAGTATGCACGGCATACTTCACTTGGAAAAGCGAAGTGGATAACATTTTGATGATAGATAAGTGAAGTGCGTGAACTGACGACATGCTATGAGGCACCGAGCAATTTCTAGAAAATGGCGCTGAGAACAAGCGTTTAAACAAGTAGGTGTATAGATTCATTGTTTTTTTGTAGCAATTATTATCACTGAGGCACTATGCAAGTTTTCTTTTTCTTTGAAGCAATTTTTTTTTTACTTTAAGTGAACTATAATATTTGCGGCATCACAATGAATGGCCAAATATTTATTATCCAGTTCAAGCTACAACGGTCCTATAGAAAGTGCTCACTGTGTTTGTTCACGAGCTTCGTTTGTACTTCTTGTCTCAAACAGAAATTTCTTCCAGCATTTGTGTATATAGTTAGTCCCTAAGATGTGCATACGCCTTTCCTTAATCTACGACTTATTATGAATCATTTGATAAGCCTTTGTGCGTAAATATTTGGTACTTATTTATATGCCCAGTGGTTATAAAAAGGCCTTGTGTGCACATACAGAAGGTGCTCACTACACAATGAATAAATAAGCGCACACAGCAACGCCATCAGGAACCACCGATATTTCTCCGTTAAGACGAAGCACACAGTCGCACTAATACAAAAATCTTGCCAAGAGTTCGTGCCTTACGGTGAAGAATCTGGACATCCATTTTCATATTCAAAACTCAAAAGCGGGCTGCATAGTCTAATATATGGTAATGTCAAACATCTCAATGGTGAACAGCCAGCCATTTATATTACAGTCCGGCTTCGGAAATAAATTTTCTATATACATCGTCATTTCGCCGCACCGAGTAAGAACACCTTTAAATGAGGGCATCGACATATCCGCGTAACTCAAGAGCTGATAAGATACACGAACCTCTTCGAGAATGTTATCATGTTTTCGGCTTCTCACTTACTATCCGGGCAAGCCTAGAAATTAAAGACAACTTGAATTTCCCTCATTTTTAGATACCTACGCAAATATTGTGTTTAGTGATATGCTTGCCTGGAGAGAATCTACAAATGACTTAGAAAAAAATGTACGTTTGTGTAGCATACTTCAAGTTTCATTGCTTTTTAAGGCAAACTTCTATCTCATAAGTAGCCGTTATCTCTTTTTTTCATCAAAGCATATCATAAATGTTATTGAGACGTCTTATACCAGCAGGTCGCGGGACCAAATCCCGGCTGCGGCTGCTGCATTTCCTATGGAGGCGGAAATGTTGTAGGCCCATGTGCTCAGATGTGGGTGCACGTTAAAAAAACTCCAGCTGGTCGAAATCTCCGGAGCCCTCCACTACGACATCTCTCATAATCACATGGAGGTTTTGGGACGTTAAACCCCACATATCAATCTATAAGTCGAAACGTCTTGTACAGGAATCTGTGGCATTACCCTTGATGTCCTTTTCACTTGTGTGTGCACGCTTTTTTGAGGGACAATTATCTTTATAATTGAGAAAATCAAAATGGCGCAATCGTTCGTACATTTTGAACAAGAAGGTTCCCAAGCTTGAAAGCGAACTGCACTCTGTCAGCTTGATAATATCAAAATAATATAGCTGCGCCTTATAACTATCTTCTTGTATACAGCCATGTCGAAATGAACAGCAACACATCGGGGAATAACGTACCAACCTCACCATATGAATATGAGGGACGCCGCAGTGGAGGGCTCCGGAAATCGCGACCTCCTGGGGTTCTTCAACCTGCACTAAATCTAAGCACACTGGCCTCAAGCACTTTTGCTTCCATCGTAAATGCGGCTGCCGCGGCCGGGATTTGATCCTGTGACCTGCAGGTCAGCAGCCGATTGCCTTAGCCAATAGACCACCAAGAAGGCAATGTCAAAATACAGTGCATGTGCATAGCAAGCACGTACTGGGCGCAGAAATTCCATTCAAAGTGAACTTTTCAGCATATCGTTTTTGTCGCTATAGCTTCACAAGTATCGCACAGTTTGGATATCTTACCTTTAGATTGGTATGTATACTTTAGAAGCCAGTTCTTCATGATTTGCCACTCAATCCTTTTAACGAAATAGCTCACTGTTGTCTTTAATCTTTCGCTAGCCGTTATTCGGCAATATTTTTGTGTTAATTCTTCCTACGCTAATAAAGCACTGGGTATGCAGCTGAAGGTTGCACACTGCCGCCAATGCATACACAGTAAATCTTTTTCTTCGGATATTGTGAGCCTGACACACGCAACTGTTTCCGACTACGTGCATGAAGGCGTTATATTGTGTACACTTACATTGAACTGCTGTACAGTGAAAACTTTAGGTACGGGAGTACAGAGAACGTGACACACGCACGCACAATGAAGTCCAAACAACTAGCCCAAACAAGGACCTAGGCAGGTTGTATACTTACGTTGTTACGCTGAACGTTTCATTGGCGCCTGACTCAGCGAAGAGTTCCAGCTCAATTTTCCCATATGATGGTTCTTGGCCGGCCGAGCTGTTGACAACCAGCTTGTATTGACTCGCTGAAGAATAACAGAATGAAATATTTCAACACTGTTTACGTCCCTGTACACAGGTGTTTCTACGCTACATTGCCCATTAGAAGTTACTGAGGTATTCGTTATCAATTGATTTAACGACACGCACTGCAGTTGATAGAAAAAACTAGCATGTTGGTGTTTTTAACAACAGATGTCTTTAAAGCCCTCGTTGACGATGAATTATTGATTGTCACCTCAAATAACAATTATTAAAAAATCAAAAGCAGTATTTCATAACTTTACCCGCAATGCATACACTCAGTGCTATTATGTATTTCTGTACAAGCATGTTAAAGCAGAACATATCAACCTATTGCTTGGAGGTTTTGTCAAATTTTTTGAATATCCACAAATAACTTGAAAAACATGAACTTCGAAAGTAGTGCTTTTATACAAGTTGATGACGACAAATATAAGGAACTTTCAGATGTTCAAGACTGTTTTTGGCACGTTCGCACAACCGAGACGTCAGGAAGCCAGATGGCTATATATGGATTAAAATTACCTATGTTTGATTATAAAGTGAAACCATCTCACTGCGAAGAAATCAAGATTTACAGAAAGGTAATTTGCTATACACGGGGACTGAACTGGTATATACGTAGCATTACACTTGCTTTGGTGTGCCTTTTGAGTTACCGCGTGTCTGTAGGGGCGTCATTTTCTTGGGTACGTATGTATGTGTGATTACTTCTAATGGTTATGACCTCTATTATCACATTTTCTTAGCAGTAATGACCTAGGGTTGCTGATTACTATAATGCAGTGTGTTTCGCTGTTGCTCCCAAGATGAGGTCTATTTCTTTATTCATTTCTTTGTTTATTTAGATGATTTATTGATATACACACATGTAGTCACTCGTTTCTACTATTGAATACCCCGTTTTTTTTCCTATCATTGATGAGCATCTTGCTTCAGCTGACACGTTTATACTTTCATTTTTATTGAAAGGCAGTGCCACGAAAGGATGCACACTGGCTGCAGCATTTGTGACCACCGCCAATCACGGTCCTCATGGCGGTCGTGCACAAACTTTTATGAATTGCAGTGATATCATGACACATGAAAGAATAAAAGTAGACGAATGGTTGCGCATTTTGTTGCGTTGGGTTTGCAGCATCTACGTACAGGTTTGCATTGGTTGCTTTAAAATTTTAGACATTGTTGTTCGCACAGTAAAATATTTGTGTTATGATGTGTGAGCAAAGAAGAAATTTTCTTTCCTCTTTTTTTTACCGCAGACTTTCATTTAGGCGCCTGTAGGAATGTTTCTTCATCACTGAGAATTTTATAGAGAAAAAACTAATTTTCTGTTAGTTTTGCGCGCTTTTGATATTTGATTATTTATAATTGTCAACTAAAATCAAAGTGTTGTTAGCTATTACATCTAGTAGTGTTGCCTTATAAAACCTAATAGGAAAATGCACCCGATATTTTGCCAAAGTGAGCTAATAGAGATGGGTATGACCCACCTCAGAGGACTAGTACAACTACGGTATTGACAATGGTTATTTCAGTGGTTATTTCAGTGGTTATTTCAATGGTTATTTCAGGCGCCGATCCGGCAATATATGACGCAATAAATTTGTGATTGCAATCACCAAGCTGACGGGAATCCCTCGTGTATTACTAACTCCGTAGCGTACGTACATTATAACATTTGCATTAAGGCAATTAACAAAGACTACCTTTTGACATAATCATTTCAGGCTTCTTTTGCAACAAACAGACGTGTGAACGAGCCTCGTGGAAAGGATCATTTCAGATTATTTTGGACAGCAAATTTGAAACACTGAGCACCCGTACTCCAATGACATGGCAGCGTATCTCGTGCCGTCACTATCCTCAAGACATTGCAAATATGCTTCGTTTAGTTTTTATGCAGTATAAGTAAAGCGATACGCGAAGTAAAACACGTTTCTGAGTGATCACAACATACACCGGTCAAAAAGCCAATCATCCAGAATGATCGGAATGAATTAGGTGGTTGCCAAGACCAGCAATTGCCCCTTGGCCAATGAATGTAGCAAAGTGATTAAAAAAATTCAGGAGAGCGAAACATGCAGGGAAGAATGTTTCAGTTCAATTAAACATGGGTAGGGCAGAGCACGCAGTGTTTTTAAAGAGATTTCTTTGATGAGGCACTGCTGGGTGCCAAACATAAAACTGGGAATTAAGGTGCTTCCACTCTACTTGCGTCATCCGAACACTGCGTCGGATTTGTTTTCTTCAATAAACGACAGATGCCTACATTGGGGGATTGGCCAAGAATGCGACGTCAATATATGGCTCAATAAAACTTGTTGTTCGGCTTGTTGGTTATTTGGGATATTGTAAAATTTAGCGTCACCTTTCCTGTCGCCCTCACCCAAAAAGTCACGCATCCACCAGGGTAACACCGAGTAGTGCTGAGTGTCGCGTGTGTTACGTGGATGGATGTTTGTTTGTTTGAGCGTTCGCGAGAGTCAAAGTTGCGCTTTTTTTTTCAATATGCGACCTTGATACTTGTAAATGCTTTTGTAGGAATGGTAGAAAGACAGCTTACCCAAAGGGCCTTCTTACCCTAAGGGTCCTCTTTTTCTTTTTCTTCAACTATGCGTGCCGAGTTTAGGAGCACTACAGCACATAGAGAAGCTTGTTTCTGCTCTAGTAACGTCACCATCTCTTTTATTATTGCTATAGAATTTATGTGGAGACTCTCGGCTGTGTTTTTCCGCCGGCGTTGACGTCGCCGTCACTGACCGTATATGTATACGTATCTAAAATTGTATGTATATGAATATGCAAGAAATGAGAAAAAAACCAGTCAAAGACTCCGGCGCGCGGAATCAAACTCGGGTCCTTTCAGTTCTGAGTGCGAATCGTTACCCTCTGAACCACTGAGTAGCACGTCGTCCACCATTCAAACGGCAAGCTATTTAATCTACCACTTACCGCTCGTGATGGGCATCTTTGGGGGGGGGGGGGGGATATCGTGGTATCAGCCTTACCAGCAAGATGGCGCAATGGGCACGCGTCGCCATATCGCGTGGCGGTATGTGCTGTGATCTCCCATGCGTATTTCGCCCCGCTTAGATGAGGAGAGCGAAACTCTCTCTCGCGCCCTTATCTCGCGGTGGGGAGGAGGGCTGAATTATACGTCTTGGCTGGCCTCGAGCTTTGCCTGGAACGATTCTATGGTAGTTACCGGGTGCGCAAAAGGTCACTGCAATTGTTGCACAGTCTGCGTTTGCGAAAAGGGTGCGCTTTTGAGACACAGGCAAGTAACAACTGAGACGCGTATTCCCGTTCATCTGTAACTGTGAGTACGTTTCGTGCATCATTTGTGCTTGAGAAAAGCGGGGCACGTATTGATCTGCTTTCCATTCTGCACGTGATCTTCCAATTTGATGCTATCGCATTCATTGCTTCGTCTTTGTGGCAAAGCTGTGACTTTTTTTGGCGATCTGTTGCCTTTTTATATTTGTGGACCAGTGTGGAGTTGCGAAATTCTCCCAATGTGGTGTATAGCCATTTTTATGATAGACACCGATCACATGACACTTCCTGACGACAGGAGATGACAACTTAAAATAATAAGGCACTTTGCAGCTAAATAAATAAAGGCGACTTCAAAACTGGACATCAGTATGCGGTGAAGCACTCATGCGACGGCGTTAATCTGCCCTTGTTTCGTCCTTGTATTAAACTTGCGGCTTGCTCTTAAAGCGGATCTCAGCAATTGGTAGAACGAAGTGCGTACTCGGGATAAGCTGTGTCAGCGGTGACAATTATCCCAGATCTCCACTAAAAACCCGTTCCCTCTTTCAATACTTCATTCATTTTTTATTATATTCTCACATTTTGTAGGCGCCTATTTTTGTACATTCATGCACTGATCAAACAAAGAGTCTTTTCGAGGCAAGGGGCCACTACTTGTTTAATGCCTTGACGATTTGAGAAAAACACCTATTTTTAAGAACATTTTCCTCTATAAGCACTTCAAGTTAGACTAGGTGCAGGCCCCTAGCATCCCCTTCCTTGGTTACGGGCCTGCTTCGATAGCATATATATATATATAATATAACTATTATATTGAATGAGAGTCATCAATCACACCAGTTTTTTAAACATGTTTTGAAAGTATTCAGAGAACCGAAAATAAATGCCGAACCAAAATTTCTGTTAAGAGGAACCACACACCCACTCGTTTCAAAGGTCATCAATACAGCTTTCTTTCCACACATCAGTAGCATATCTACTGGCTGTGTGCATCGGAATTATTTTTATATTTTATTCTTCATATAGCACTGACCACAGAATGGAGGCTCCTGGCGAGTCATCAGGAACATTCGTCCACGCGCTCGTGACCGGTCAGCAAAGTACCCCATGTAGCTGCAGTCCATTGGTCGCTCGCAAGGGAAGCATTCGCCGCGCAGGAAGTGCTCGTAGGTATTGCAAGAAAACGCTGGAAAAGGACACTGTGGGTTCGCTGACTCTGTGAACAGCTGAAGTGCGCGTCGGTGGTGGCACAGGCTCTGCCAATGACCCCCTGCAGATCGTGAATAGAATATGAAAATGTTAAGTTTTTATAACTTTTTATAAGTGCCCAAAGCATTGCACGAAATATTGGCGCCATATTTCAGTTCACCAAAGATTCGTTAAATACGCGCGTTTGTCAGGCAGCCTTGGTGATCCCGCGTTTCTTAGCATACTGCGTAAATGATATTTCGTTTCCTCTCTGCTCCTCCGAGAATTGGGTAGCATATGTTCTGCTTAGTGAAACACAATTGAAAGCAATAAATTAAAACGCCTCATCCTTCTCGTGAATGGTCTCACACTGAAAAAAAATGTCTTGTGCTATTGCGACGAGTGCCTGTACAAAACCTAACAGAATAGTTAAGCTGGCAACGTTCGACTAGCTCTTATCAAGATCCACTGTTCTACATAAGGCACAGAAGTTTCTTTTATACTTCTGCCGAAATTCGTGGTTGGCTGCTCTGTTCCATCGAAAATATTTTAACCATGAAAATGTTTTTATAGCGCGGTACACTAACACTTCAGTGACATATGTACATCACGAATAAGACGTTGAGAAAGTGCGCACGATAAGAATACAAGACGTTCCATCAACAGGAACCCACAAACTCTGGGCCCACGACAACGCATGCCAGACGCTCTATTTATTGTGCCACGGTCACATACACAGTATGCTTTATAAAAACGCCTTTTAGAGCTACCACTGTTTCTCAAACCGTTGTTGGTAATGTGAAATAATGTAACATCACTGTGGCATTCATAAACAGTCTATTTAACGTGTCATTTCTGTCTCATTCGGCGCTTTTGCAACAGGATGGTTGGATGGAAAACTTTATTATATCTAAGGATGAATGGTTGGAGTCCCTAGTTTGGCACTCCGTATGCAGAGGCCACCAGAGACTTTGGACCTACAATCCTAGCCGAAGAGTGCCATCTCTTGCCCATATCAACTGAAATTCTTAAAAACATGCTTTGGATGTAGTTATGTGACACTCTTACGCCTCATGGTAAAGGAGAAGTGTTATTTTTTCAATGCCTCAATACTGCTGCCGTGGGTGACTTACCCAACCCGTCGGCATGGCTTACAGCAACCATTCATGAAAAAAAATAGCACTGCGACACCAGCCGGTTTTTCTGGCTTTAAATCCGCGTTTTCTGCTTGCACTCGCCCAGCGAATAATCGCCGCAGGGAAAAGACATAACGTGCGTTGAGTTTTCATCCAGTCGGGCATAGGTGTTCAATGACTCCAACATAACGTGAGTGGGCGACCGAAGCCCAAGCACCATCTTTTCTATCTCTTCTGCTCCTTCACTGTCTGTGTTTTCCGGGGTTGCGCTGTAAATAAGTGCACAATGACGTCCAATCAGTCACGCTTCTATGGCTGTCATATCGCTTTTCTGATTCCCCTCTCACCGTTTACTGCCACAGCTACCACAACCATACTTTACCACAAAGATTTGTTCAATCAGTATTGATTTCACTCTCCGGGCATGACTAAAGCGTCAACATGCATGGGTGCATCCACGTCAAGCGGAGCTTTAGCCGTCAAACACCAATACACAAGCACTCTCATAACAATATGCAGTAAACGTTGAACTACTTCTGTAAGTACATGTTTTCTTTTCTTGTTCTACCGATTTTATGACTGAGGGGTCACCAGGCGTTTTTATTTATTGTCATCCACACGCCAACCACTTTATCGTAAAACTATTTCGGACAGCTCATATGGTTGCTATGTCGAAGGGCTATTTTTTACTACACGCCGAAGATAAGAGAGAATTCAGTTCTCTCTGAGCAGTACTGGCTACGACTACAATTCAACATATGCACTGCCTTGCAACCATTTGATGCAAATTCTTCCGGAAAGTTACATGACTGCATGTTCTGCTTTTATATTTGCAAGCACACTAAACAGTTCATTTTTTATTTCTGTGTACTAGTAAAGCACTCTGTAACGATGCCAAGATTACCGTGCTTGCCACGACAACATGCTCTGTAAGCGAGAAAACCGGTAAAAATTGTGCAGGTGTGACGTCACATTGAAATTTCTGCACCAATACACGTAACGTCATTGATTTCAATGGTGCCTACTGAAGCCTACGTAATCTTAAATCCGTAAAAATTGGTTATACTGTCCTCTGGGATGACCACATACTCCACATGCAAAGATTTAGTGACTTTAATTGAGCGAATGTCATTAAAACAAGAAAAAATCACTCTAGAATGTTTGACTTCAGATGCGCAAAATGTCACCAAAATACAAAAAATTTACTTCGAAATCTTTGACTTCAGATGCGCAGGTTTTAGCGCAATTAACAACCGAGTTTGACAATAATTTTCTTGTCTCTTAAACGGAAAGTAGGGATTTCTCGAGTTTTTGATGTAATAATTCTGAACTTAAAACATATTGTTGTCCACTTTAACGTATCTTTAGGCTCAGTGCTTCTATCGCACCCAATCTAAAAGTGTTCCGCAGGGCCCAAGTAAGTGCTTACAGAAGATGTCACTCAGGGCTCCGACAAAGACGCTATTGCATCCCAGTTGTGCCTTGCCGCCATTAGGGTAATAGTCAACGTGTCCTAGTGGCTCGAAGGCACCCAGACCGCCTCGCAGAAAGCTGTCGCCGTTGGAGTGGATCACGTCCACCAAAGTTGCGTCTGTGGGATCCAGCCGAGACGTGTGATCGTAGCCTTCGAACAAGGGCGCAGCCGGGTCCAGCCCTGCAATAAAATAAGGAAGAGACGCCGCATTTTATTCTTGAGAATTTTCAGATACTGAGAAGGTACTAATTAAAATAATATGATTTCACAATGGGGATTGGTTGGGTGAGGATTGTCAGTGGAGACAGCATCCTGACATGAGGACTGATTTGGCCAGGGTACTAACTGCGCCACATTGGACTGTTTTTATGTGCGCGATAATCACTGGGCGCCAGTTTTAAATCATGAGAGCAACAAGAGCATGCATAGGAAACAAATAAGGTGCTACTGCCTACCGATAAGTTGGCATTGCAAAAATAAATCAATGCCCTAACTTCCCCGAAGAGAACGTGAGCAACTGCGAATGCATTCTGTAGCGTCTCTAACGGTGTTTCGCACGTGAGAACCAAGCGTTAGAAAAATATTGTTTTCTCTTTTTTCTTACACCATGCACCAAATGCACTGTTCACCACATGTGGCGTTTTTCTGTCGCAGGATAGGCAATATGCGTTTCCTGGTCAAGTAGCAAGCGTGCATGCTTAACAAATACTATGAGGCTTCATGCGAAGCATGCGGGGAAAAGACGACCATGTGAAAAAGGGTTTATTGGCGACTGTTGGAACGGTGGTCTTACGAAGAAACACGATCGTGCAAAAGCAACGGTCAAGCAGATGCCGGCGATGATCAGCACGAGCCGAGCGAGCAAAGCCCAGCATCCAGTACCCAAGCGGTGGCGATGTTGCTTGCCAACGATGCTCTTTCTTCTTCACAATTTGCCCCCGCCGAAAAAGAGCCATCCTGGCGACCTAAGAGTCTGGAGGCAGAGGTCTATGATATGGCTTAAGGCGGGCGACGTGGACGATGTCACGTCCACGCCGGCGTATGTCGTCAGATGGGGAAAGTGGCTCGATGAGAAAATTCACCGGCGAGGTTTGCTCCAAAACGCGGTATGGGCCCTCGTACTTTGGAACGAGTTTTGAGGAAATGCCGGGGGTTTGGTAAGGAACAGCCAGCCATACAAGTGATCCCGGGGAATGGCTGGGGCTTTGTGAAGAGTCGGCGTTGTTTTCTTTCTGGCGCTGTTGTTCTTGTGACGTAAAGGTGCGTGCGAGTTCACGGCACTCTTCCGCATTTCGGGCAGCTTCGGACACAGATGGGCATTCGGATGCGTCAGGACGGTAGGGAAGGAGAGTATCGATGGTGTGGGATGGTTCGCGTCCATAAAGAAGAAAGAAAGTTGAAAATCCAGTGGTAGACTGTGCCGCGGTGTTATATGCGAACGTGATGAATGGAAGAATGCGATCCCAGTTAGTATGATCGGATGTCACATACATGGCGAGCATATCGCCAAGGGTGCGGTTAAATCTTTCCGTGAGCCCGTTAGTCTGCGGGTGGTATGCCGTGGTCTTGCGATGAACAACATGGCATTCAGAAAGCAGAGACGTGACGACTTCTGATAGGAAGGCTCGACCTCGGTCGCTTAGTAGTTCTCGAGGTGCACCATGTCCTAGTATGAAGCGATGAAGGATGAAGAATGCTACATCCCGCGCAGTGGCACTTGGAAGGGCGGCGGTCTCAGCGTAGCGTGTTAAATGGTCCACAGCGACTATGATCCGCCGATTTTCATCTGATGTTGTTGGTAGAGGGCCATAGAGATCGATTCCGATCCGATCGAAAGGTTTGGCAGAGCACGGAAGCGGTTGAAGCGCACCGGACGAGTGGAAAGGCGGTGGTTTGCGGCGTTGACAGTCAGGACAGCCCATAACGAATTTTCGAACGAAATTATACATTCCGCGCCAGTAGAAGCGATGGCGAATGCGTTCGTAAGTTTTGAAAACTCCGGCATGACCACATTGGGGATCGTCGTGAAAGGAGGCGCAGATTTGTGATCGCAAGCTGCGCGGGACAACCAAGAGCCACTTACGACCTTCGGGGGCGTAGTTGCGTCGGTGTAGCAGCCGATCACGAATGGCGAAATGAGCAGCTTGACGTCGGAGAGATCGTGGTACCGCAGTGGTTGACGATCCAGAAAGACAGTTAAAAGGGAAGCGATCGACGGGTCCTTGTGTTGTTCACTGGTAAAGGAGTCGAGGTCGAGAGATTCGATGGAGTTGGTACCAGTGGTTCCAGAGGCCGAGTCGGGAGGTAAAGGCGAACGCGACAGGGCGTCGGCGTCAGAATGCTTGCGTCCGCTGCGATAGATGACACGAATGTCGTACTCCTGGATTTGCAGTGCCCACTGAGCTAGGCGGCCAGAAGGGTCTTTCAATGTGGCGAGCCAACAAAGTGCATGGTGGTCCGTTACCAAGTCGAATGGGCGTCCGTACAAATAAGGGCGGAACTTGCGAAGCGCCCACACTAGCGCCAAGCACTCTTTTTCAGTGACGCTGTAATTGGCCTCAGCTTTAGTAAGTGTGCGACTCGCATAAGCGACGACGTATTCGGAGTAGCCCGGCTTGCGTTGGGCGAGGACGGTGCCTAGACCAACCCCACTAGCGTCTGTGTGAACTTCCGTTGCAGCTGTTGGGTCGAAATGCCGAAGAATTGGAGGAGATGTTAGCAGACTACGGAGCGTGGCAAACGCGACGTCGCAGTCAGAAGACCAGGATGAAAGGTCTGCATCACCGCGTGGGAGGTTGGTCAGTGGTGACATGATCGATGCAAAATTTCGCACGAAGCGCCGGAAGTACGAGCATAGTCCGACAAAACTGCGTAATTCTTTCAGTGTAGTAGGTTTCGGGAACTCAGCGACTGCTCGCAGCTTTGCAGGGTCGGGTCGAACACCATGCTTGGAGACAATGTGCCCTAAGATGGACAGCTCTCGCGCGGCGAAGCGGCACTTTTTAAGGTTCAGTTGGAGCCCAGCGTTGGTTAAACACGTCAGAACCAGTTGGAGCTGAAGCAGATGCGTAGGAAAATCGGGAGAGAAAACGACAATGTCGTCGAGGTAGCATAGACACACAGACCACTTCAGTCCACGCAGTGTGTTGTCCATGAGTCGTTCAAACGTGGCAGGAGCATTACAAAGACCAAATGGCATTACGTTATATTCGTACAGGCCATCTGGTGTAATGAACGCAGTTTTCTGGCGATCAGCTTCTGCCATAGGAACCTGCCAGTATCCGGATCGTAAGTCTAAGGAGGAGAAGAATTCGGCTCCTTGGAGGCTGTCAAGGGCGTCGTCTATGCGCGGTAATGGATAGACGTCTTTCCGCGTCACCTTGTTTAATCGCCGGTAGTAGACGCAAAATCGAATCGATCCATCTTTCTTTCGAACTAGAACGACAGGAGATGCCCAAGGACTGTGCGATGGTTGAATAACGCGACGGCATAGCATCTCTTCGACCTGGTCGTTGATGACGTTACGTTCTGCTGCAGAGACACGGTACGGTCTTTGACGCAATGGCTGGTGCGAACCGGTGTCAATGTAGTGGTGCACTGCGGAAGTCCGACCCAATTGCGGCTGAGAAACGTCGAATAAATTCGCGAAGTGCTGGAGGAGATTAAGAAGCTAGGCGCGTTCATGCGCACTTAAGGTGTCGGCGATGGAACTCGAGAAGGTGTCACTCGATGAGCATTCTAGTGGGGAAAGGGCATGAAGTTCGGTCGAGGAGCTACTGCACGATTCGTCTGACATATTAAGGAATAAAGAGGAATCGAGGTACTCCACTCGACCGAGACATTCGCCGGCAAGTAGCTGTCGATGATGGCATGATGATTTGACAGAAAGTCCCACCCGAGGATAACGTCATGCGAGCACACCGAAAGGACGATGAACTCGACAACGCACATAGAGCCTTGGATGAATATGCGGGCCGTACAGGTGTCGAGAGGTCGAACTTGTTGTGCGCTAGCTGTACGAAGCGATAGTCCAGAGAGCGGCGTGGTCACTTTGCGTAGGGAGCGGCAGAGCTGGGCAGCTATAACAGAAACGGCAGCACCTGTGTCGACGAGGGCAAAGGTAGAAACACAATCGACAGATATAGCGACGACGTTAGCTGGTGAAGTGCGAGGACTTGAGCATTTCGACGACGGCGCAGTTCTTGCCTTTGGAACTGCGGCGTTCAGTTTTTCCCGGTTGGAGGAAGCGGGTCTAGGACGCATTGGGGACAGTGATCACCTGCGAGGAGATGGGGAGCAGGGAGAGTGAGTTTGAAGCTGGGGTGACCGAGACTCAGAAGGTTAGTGTATCCATACTGCGGTGAGGGATAGGGAGCAGGTATGTGCAAGGCCTGTGGGTCATACGGTAACGGCCGAGTAGCGTCGTGGAGTGGTTGGAAGCGACGGCGACAATATCGTGCCACGTGTCCTGCAGTACCGCAGGCGTAGCAGATCGGTCGATTGTCAAGAGTGCGCCAGGAATTGCTGACTCATGGTGCGGCCCAAGGTGTCGAAAAAGGGGCGGAGTGGGGAGCGAATGAAGACATGGGTGGCAAATGCTGCTGGCGGGGTCTGCTACGTACCACCTGGGCATACGTAAGAGGCGCGGCCACGGGCTGCATAGCCGGCGCATGGGCAACAGGCATGGCCCCAGGCTGCTGGTGGGCAGCGACGGGAACAGCCTGAGCTACCTCTTCGGCAATAACGTCGCGGAGTGGTGAGGGCAGATGAGAGGACGGTGGCTGCTGCGTGAAGGGAATCAACGACAGTTGCCGAGCTACTTCTTCACGCACGAAGTCTTTAATCTCTTGCAGGGTTGGTGAGTGGTCGGGAACAGAAGTGAGACTGGAAAGCGAGTCGGCGTGTGAGGAAAATGGCCGAGTCAGGGCGCGCTTCTTGCTCAACTCATCGAAACTTTGACACCAAGTGACAAGTTCCGCAACGGTGGCAGGATTACGGGCCAGGAGCAGCTGATATGCACCGTCATTTATCCCTTTGAGGATGTGTTGAATCTTTTCCGACTCGGGCATGGCGTTGTTCACGCGGTTGCAAAGACCAATAATGTCCTCGATATAACTGGTGAATGATTCAGATGGCTTCTGTGCGCGAGTCCGCAAGCGTTGTTCGGCTCTGGACTTGCG